AACAACAACCACAGAAAGAAAAAAATATTCATGGATATAAGAGAAAGTGTTCATGAAAGAGAGAACCTATAGGTGAGAAGGGGCAACTGACCCTGGAAATAGTGATATAAAATAATTGAGCCAAGTTATCCTAATTAAATTTACTGAAAATCAAGGGATTTTCAGACTTGTAAATTTATTTTATTTTTGATAATTATTTTTTTTTCATTGGTTTTCAGGTGATATTATCATGTATTTTATTCTCAAGTTATTATCTGATGTTGTTGGTTCATCTGGTTTGTCCAAATTCAACTGTCCCAATTTCATTATCATATTTAAGGAATAATTTTTCAGGATATATAATTCTTGGTTGGCTCTGTTTTTCCTCTTGTGTTTATATATATATATCATTCCATTGTTTTCTTACCTGCATGGTATTTGCCAAGAAATCAGAGTTTGGTCTTATCACTTCCTCTTTGTAAGTAACATTTTGTTTTTCCCAAACTGCTCTCAAAATTCTTTGCTAATCTTGAGTTTGAAAAGTGTAATTATGATTTGTTTTGATGACTTTCTTTTAGGGTCTACCCTGTATGGGGTTCATTGAGTTTCCTGGATAAATATCTTTTCATCTTTCCTTTCAAGATTCCTGAAACCTTGTCCTGTTCCTTTGTTTGATTTGATGTTGTCTATTATCTCTGAGATATTTTAGAGTTGTATTTATTTGGTAATTATGCTTGATTTGTTTCACTCAGATTTTGTTTTGCTTTATTTTGGTATATACAGGCAGGTGGGGTGGGTGTGCTACTTTAGTCACTAGTTTGGTAGTGTGGGGGCCCTCTCCATCTGTCTTCAAATGGGTGAAGTAACTGATAGGAGTGTGGGTGTGGGTCTCTGTTTACTGGTCATGAAAAGTAACTGCACATGGGGTGAGCAGGTGTTGTCTGCTATTGATCCAGTTGTAGAAGAGCAGGTGATGGCACGTGTCTTTTGGGTGGGGTAGAAAGCAGTGGGTGTGGAATGAATGGCTGAATATTGGGGAAAAACATGTCATTTCAATCAGGATCTGTCCACACTGTGTCTTTGTCCCAATGGGAATTACGTGAAGTTGACTTCTCCTCATTTGTGTTTGTTGTCTTTTGTGTCCTAAAATAACCCATACTGAAGTTAGCCCCCCACTTCATCTCTCTGCTCAATCACTGTTTTTCTTCTCTCTCCCTTTCTAGTAAGTGTTTAGACCAATTCTTTATCCCCTTATTTGATGTTCAGAGTTTCAGGATTATCATCTGTACCTGTTTCACACTTTTGTTTGTTTGTTTCTGTTGCAGAGGGATTGGATGGAGTGTGTTGCCAGAGCACCATCTTCTGCAGTCCTCATCATCCTCTTTCATCCTTATCTTATAAAGTTACATTATGCAGGGTAGCCATTTATAGTTTTGTAGACTTAACATAGCAACATTCTGGGGGTCACTATTCCCATTGTCAACTGTGTGTTTGGCACCCCTGAAATTGTTGCATGGTATACAAATTGTACAATGACCTTGGCATTATTGCTCCCTTTTTCTGAGATAAGAAAAACTGACACTCAGATTTTAAGAAACTTATCTTAGATCACAAATCTACAAAGTGGCAGAAGCAAAAGGCTAATACCAGAGACCAAATTCTTATTTAATAGTCAATACTTTACACACTGGCTCTCTTTGAGAGTGGAGAACAAGGAGAAGAGGAAATTGCAGGGAGTGATACTAGCAGCAACCATTTCTCTGTAGTCTTGGGGTCTTAATATAGAATTCACATAAAGGTATTCTAACTAACCAACAATAGAAGTTTTATTCTAGCAATGAAAAGCTTTTTAATACAAATGTGTGAAATGACTTTTACCCAGGTCAAATGTACATCATCTAGCTTCAATTCTAGATGAGATTAGATCATTATTCTTTCTCCCAACAGCATCCCCACCCCCAACATAGTCACCTGGTATCCCTACAAGACATGTTGTTATTAAGTGCCCTTGAATCAGTTTTGACTCATAGCAACCCTGTATAGGATTTCCAAGGAGTGGCTGGTGAGTTTGAATCACCAACTCTAGTCCAAACCAACCTTATGGTCCAGTGCTTTATCCCACAGCACCACACCAGGATTCAAGAGATGACATAGAGAAAATTACCATTGTATATCTACTTTTGACTCAACTCTTTGGCACCAAAATCTTAAGAAAAAAAATATTTATGGATCCTAAAAAATGTCAATCATGAAGTAAATAATATTTATAGTACTTTACATGACAACATGAAAACATGGTTCCTAGTAAGTATCATTTGATGACAGTCAAACAGTGATTTTTATAAAATAGCAAACTTCAAATTAATCTCTGATAACTCAGATACAAAAGAGCAGTCCTTCAGAATTCTCCATTCTATCCTTCATGCATATGTGAGAGATTTGTGAAACTGATCATTAACATAATACATAACCTGACTCTTCCCAGGCAGAACCTTGGGTGGTGGTCATGGTGGAGAAGAGTTCTGTGTGTTTTGTTCTCCAACAAGATGAGAGCATGGCTAATCTTCAACTCCAGCCCCGTCTCACAGTGCTTTTTTCTTAAAAAACCAAAAGCAACCTTGTGGGCCAAATTTTGCTTACATGTCAATGTGAAATATTTTGGTCCTGGTGTGGCACTGTGGGTTAATGTGTTAGAGTGCAAAGTCATTTGAACTGCAAAGTTCAAGCTCACCAGCTGCTCCTCAGAAACCCTATACAGGGTTTCTATGGGTCAGAATTGAGTCGAAGGCACTTAACAACAACAATATAAGACAACATCTGAGACCAGACAAGGAACAGAAGTTTTTATTAGGATTGAGAGAGAGGATCAGCTTTGGTTGGGCTGTGGCATCTTATCTAGTCAAAAGGAATATTGACACTCTGGGTTCCAAGGAAAGAGGCTAAAGAGAGGTAGGGAAACTCAGAAAGTTATACAGGAAAGGAATTTTTTTCATTTTGCCTAGCAACTGGCAGCAGGATGTATTCCTATCAAATTCTATTGAAATTCCTATGACTGAGATAATATATTAGATTGAAAATCTAAAAATTCTGTTAATATATCCCAAAGCTCCATTCTAAATTTTTTCATTATTGGTTCTCTGGTTTGGGAAAATGTATCATCACCCAACTTGGTTTTTCTTTCATCAGGAAGAAAAGAGGAACATTAAGAAGGTGATTCCTTCATATGTCCTGACATCAATTCATCACTTAAAGAACTTTGGAATGTCTGAAACCAAATGGATATACAAGTTCTACTATGTTTTTAAAATATTATGAACCTATTGACCTCACAATCCGTTTTCATCTTGCCACTAGATGCGATTCAAACATTGTGAAGATTTCTGGAGACATTCACTTCATCAGGCATGAATATCGGCAAATTGAGAAAGCAACTCAAGAGCTCATGTCTGCTCTGGAAACTGTTTCTAAGAACTTAGACATGAAGGTAACTGAAAATAGTCATAACTCATATATTATGTGTCTTTGCTAGAAATAAGATCAATATATGGCATTAAGACATCCATTCAAGTGATAACTGTTTTAATTGACTGTTTTTCTCCCAAAGGGTTCTAATATGGCAACTCACATGTATTCCATGAATATGGTCTATCCAATAAAAATATTTAATGAATGCCTTTTATGTTCCCAAATAACCATATCCCTTTAGTGAATGCAATTTGATTTCATCATTGTCACTAATTTCTTACTCTTTTAGTTCCCCTTAATGTTGTTTACCTGTGCTTTATTGATTACACAAAGGCTTTCAATTGTGTGCATTATGACAAGCTATGGATAACACTACGAAGAACAAGTATTCCAGAACATTTATTTGTGCTCATAACTAACCTGTACATAGACCAAGAGGCAGTTGTTTGAACATGACAAAGCAACACTGAATGATTTAGAATCAGAAACAGTTTGTGTCAGGGTTATATTCTTTCACCTTATTTATTTAATCTGTATGTTGAGCAAATAATTACAGAAGCTAAATTATATGAAGAAGAACGTGGCATCAGGATTGGAGGAAGACTCATTAACAGCCTGTGATATGCAGATGATACAACCCTTGCTTGCAGGAAACAAAGAGAACTTAAAGTATGCGCTGATGAAGAACAAAGACTACAGTCTTCAGTATGGATTGCACCTCAATGTAAAGAAAATAACACTCCTCACAACTGGACCATAAATTACATGATGGTAAAAGGAGAAATGATTGAAGCTGTCAAAGACTTCATATTACTTGAGTCCACAATCAACACTCGTACAAGCAGTCAAGAAACTAAATGACTTATTGCATTAGGCAAATTGCCTGCACAAGATGTGTTTATGGTATTCAAGAGCAAAGATGTCAGTTTGAGGACTCAGGTGAGTCTGACCCAAGCCATGGTATTTTCAATAGCCTCAAATGCATATGAAAGTTGGACAAATGAACAACAAGTTGGACAAATAAATGAACAGAAGGATTGATGCATTTGAGTTATGGTATTGAAGAAGAATATTAAAAGTACCATGGACTGTCTTAAAAGAAATACAGCCAGAATGCTCCATAGAAGCCAGGATAGAGAGACTTTGTCTCTGAGACATCAGACAAGTTATCAGGGAGACCACTCCCTGGAGAAGGACACCATGATTGAAAAAATAAAGCATAAGCTAAAAAGAAGAAAACCCCTATCTAGATGGATTGGTACAGTGATAGCAGCAATTTGTTCAAGCATAACAATTGGGAGGATGGTGCAGGATCAGGCAGTGGTTGATTCTGTTGTGCACAGGGCTTCTATGAGTCAGAGCTAACTTGATGGCATCTAACAACAACAACAAAAGGTGCTCTTTGTATATTAGGAAGATGAACCATTTCTATTATAAACTTTAAATACATTTCCCAGTTTATCATTTGTCCCTTGGCCTTTATTATGTATTTGTATTATATTTTTATGAGACTGAACTTAACTAGTCTTCTTTTGTGGCTACTGGATGTTCGAGTCACAGTAGGAAAAAAAGACTTTCCTCACAAAGACTTAATATTGCTCATATTTATTTCTAGCACTTTCTTAGGTTTGCTGTTAAACATTTGAGTCCTCGACCCGTTTGGGCTTTTCCATGATATAGAACATGTCTTAATTATTGAGAGCCAAAATATGACCTTGAATATATTTCTTCTAAATGTAGAGACCATCTTATGAACAGATTTGATGCATTAGACACTAATGACCAAAGACCAGGAAAGTTGTGGAATAGCCTCAAGAACATCATACAAGAAGAAAGCAAAAGGTCATTAAAAATACAAGAAAGGCAAAAAAGACCAAAATGAATCTAAGAAGAGATTCTGAACCTTTATCTTG